GAAACGTCCAAGAGCGGAGCCACCAAGTATCAGTGTAGACAGGTGACTCGGTTTCTTCATATTGACAGAGGTCTTAGCGACTCGCACAAGATTTAACTGTATTTGTTCAAGGTACAAGCAGTTCCGTGCTTGTGTACGAAAAGTTTTCGATGAGCTAGGGGCTACTGATGACATGGTAGACTTGGAGAAAATTACTGAAGGTAAGTTCATTTGTGGTTTCTGTCAATTTGGGTACAGAGAACAATGGAAATGGCGATTTCAGGCGTACAGTCACAAGCTGGCAGTAATTTGTTCTCTGACGGTGAATTGGAGGCAGGATACGAAAGAATGGCCAATGATAATGCGATTATGATTGCTGATAACAAAATCACTTTGATTTAAAAAGTATTTCTCCATCTCTCACGTGCTTAACTGATGAATACTAAAAAGCTCTTAACAGTGTCTGAATAACCGATTCTTTTACCCAGTAGCTCTCATGATCTCTTACTGATATTCTTTGGAGTTGTTTTGTCATTTTTTTTACTTTTGATACCGGGGCCTGTTAATAACCCTGTTTATTCTGGTGATTTTGTGAAAGAAAAATGAAAGTTTGTACTTATACTTGTGTGGTCACCGTTCACGTTGTAACTTTCAAGAAAGTTATTGATAAAAAACCTTTATAGCATAAGTAAGCAGAGAGGCGCTGATTCGTGATTGGTGAGAGGGCGGTTCACATTTTGGCGCTGAAGCGGTTCTGGCATTGAACGTTTAGAGCCTACCACGCCCCACTGCTAATCATTGGACGGCCGCAGGTGGTGACTCATTCGTCAGCCCATTAGTGTTTAAAAATACGTATTATTATTAGAGTTATTGGTCCATTGCAAGGTAATGCAAGAAGGGTGAAAGAACGGTGTTAGTGCAGCCCTTACACTTCTGCGACTCCTCTCAACCTGAAGTCATGCTCGCTGTGGTTGAAGGGGCGTGTTAGGCAGGATGGTTTGGAGCGGAGCTGCTGAAGTGAGCAATCAACGAGGCTGTATATTATTCGTATCAGTCATTTTTCACAAATTCCTGTCGCTTACCGGCTTCAGCAGCTGGTGGGGATCGGCTGGTTTGGCGCTGTGCCAAACTCATCCCGCCGGACACGTTTCAGTTAACAAGACTGTATATGCGATACCCAGAATTTTGCTGTAAAGGCACTGGGTTGAGGTTAAGGGAAAACATTTCCCTCGAAGCCAACAGGACCTTCTTCATCCCAACGACCACGATTCCCTGAAGAGTTTCGGTTAACATGCCGTGATCCAGCATTGGCGGTGGAGCATGATCAGTGATAGTCGTGTGGTTGCTCTATGGCGCGGCTAACGCCAAATGTGAACGCGGTTTGACGCTAAAGTACGCTTATCCCTGAGTCAGAGTAGGCGTGGCATTTGAACATGGCACGGAACTGGTTACTCGTGGAATATTCCAGTCTGGGACAACTGTCATCTTGTTCTGTGTTGGACAGAGACACGACAACAGTTGTGTCAAGATGGAAATATTCCACCAGAAGCATAGACACCTTCAGGTTAAGTTGAAGCATGCAGCCACGCCTACCCGATCTCAGGGATTTCGAGTATAATTTGAGGCGACCCCTTCACAGAGTCTTTGTATCACCTCTCCTTATCAAGGCAGTGGTGGTGTGGTGTGGCTCAGTGGCATCAGTGGTTTAATTTTAGGTGTGAAAATACTCTTCAGTGGATCTGGTGGTCTGCGCGCGCTTTGCTTCACTGTTTTTGACGTAGGGCGGTGTTTTGAGCGCTGCTGGATAAATATTGTACTTTCCAAGCCGTTGAGAACGCTGACGCAAAGTATGAACACTATCTAAGC